CAGGTTAATCAGTCGTTTAATTAGTTGTTAAACGAAGAACCCAAACGTGATCAATATATTATTTAGTAATAAAAAAACACTCTCTGGTTTAATGATCGATCTTTTCTAAACGTACACGGACATTTAACTATACGTGTCTGAACAGACTGTTCTCTTGTTTTCATGCTTGTATTTCCATATAAATGTTGTTTTGAAGTTGAAGGAAAAATGCAGGGATCCCCGTGTGTGTGCCTCCTTCCCCGGCAGAGCAGGTCGGAAGTACCGTAGTTTATGTATGCTAATGTGGAGAGTTGGGGGTTGTAGCTAGATATTTACGTTCAGTGGGAGCCGCCCTTCATTCACCCACATGGTTACCAACTGGTCGCCTTCGCGCCACTTTCCTAACCCCGCAATCGTCTCCGGCGGCGGCTCCTGGCTCCCGATCCAACCCGGGTCGCCTCGGATCTCACCCCGCGTGTCGTTTTCGTCCGCCGGTAGAAAAGTTTTCGGGATAGTTCGCTATTTATCCCGCTCTCTTTTTGTCGCTGAGAGACCACACGGCAGCCCGAGCAAGTGAGCGAAGATGGTGGATTTCGGCTGGTGAGTGTCTGCCGAGCGCATGTTTATCGGCAAGGAAGTCGGGTTCCTGCCCCGTTTTACAGTCTCTGTGTGGGTTCATGAAACCCGGAGCGGGGTGTTTAGTGCTTTTTCTCGCCTCGTGGTGTCTCGATAGAAGAAGGGGGATCAACATAGTGAGACATTACCGAGATGTTGGCGATGAAAACAGTGTAACGTGAGGCGCATGGCAGCCCCCTCAGCTCCACCATTGAGGGAATGAGGGAGATTTGAAAAAGCTTGTCCGGAGCTTTTCTCCGCTGCGCCTCCTTCACCACCGGAGGAGAAAATATGGCTTTTTATCAACAGCCAAGGAGTTTGAACAAAAACCCGCAGCTAGTAACAAGTTAGTTAATGTGTTTATTTCGCTGCTCGGACTCGAGTGCAGTGGTGTGTGAGTTAAAGTGCCCCCCAGAACAAAGCAGCAGCACATGGGGCAGCTTTAGGCCGCGCGTTTTAGCTTAGCTAGCCTAGCCGCACTAACTTAGCATAATACTCCAGCGGGGGCTAACTCTGGTGAGATTAAAAATGCAGGGAGCCCAGTGAGGTGAAGGTAAACCAGGGTAAATGTGGCCAGAGCAGCGGGGCAAATGCACCATGGATGTATTTTTCAAACGTGTTCGTTTGTTGTTGGCTAGCGGCTAACCAGCGTCGTCAAAACTCCACTCCCCATGATGTTAGCCGGAGAAGCGGACACAAATAAGCCGACTGTCTCCCTGCTAACACCCCGGCTGCTCCCCCTGCCACCTCCTCGGGTGGCTTTGGGGGGACACTGGGGTAACGTTAGCACGGTTTGCCATGTTTTCACCAGGCTAACAGCAGCTCCACCAGCACGGCTGCGGTGTGCTGTTAGCATCTGCTCCTGCGTGGACGGCAGCCCGTGATTTCTAGAAGCTCCGACACCGAAGCTCGCGGCGTTCCCCCGGTTAACGAACAACACACAGGTTGAAGTTGTTTTACTTGCAGCACCACGTTTTTTTTGCGTTTACGTCGGTTCGGTTTGTTGGTATTTTTGCGAAGGTTGGCGCACTTCGAGGCGCCATGTTAAAGGCGGTGGGGGAGGGGTGAATAACACCGTGCCCCCGCGCAGGCGCGCCCGTGTCGCAGGGACGCGGGCCGCAGGCTGCTCATTCATGATTTCACTGACCTCGTGCTGCTGCGATAAATCACAACATCTTCCCGTGAGAAGCGACGCAGCTCTGCACACTTATGATGGTGCACAATCAGATCCCCACCTTTTGAAATTACACTTGATATATTTTTCAGCAGCGAGGACACAACCCGCACGTGTAACTTGTTGCTATGCCATAAAGTCTTGTTTATTGTCCGTGTTACTGATCCCATGTGTCCCTCTGTGTTTTCAGATCCACTGTGAAGTGCTGGACGTCTTCTGATGGAGCAGTGTGACCACCCTCTCCTGTGATGCTGGAGGGCAGTGATGCTCTGTAATCAGTCTGTGTATTGTCAAAGTGCTTACAGTGCAGGTAGTTCTATGCAATACCTACTGCAGTGGAGGCACTTACAGCAATACCCCGACACTGGTGTGCAGAGCCTCTGGTCTTAATGTCATTTGAAGTACTGTCTTTGTGCTAAGGTGCATCTAGTGCAGATAGTGAAATAGACTAGCACCTACTGCCCTAAGTGCTCCTTCTGGCATAAGGGGCTGTGATCATGCGCCAACCAGACCCATTTCTAATTTCTAATTTGGCTCAAATATCTCGCAGTTCTCTGCTAGTTTTGCATAGTTGCACTACAAGAATAGATGAGTTGTGCAAATCTATGCAAAACTGATGGTGGCCTGCTTGCTCTCCACCTGTTAAGCTGTATGGTTTCGGGGTGTCACATCAAACACAATCTGATTGTTTAATATGCTGTGTAATGTTTTTTTTTTTTAAACCCAAGAGTACTTGACAGTTCTCGACCCCTGACTTCAGTTTCAGCAGTACTAAAGTGCTTATAGTGCAGGTAGTGATTTACCCTATCTACTGCAATGTAAGCACTTGAAGTACTTCTAACTAACTGTATCTTTCTGAAGATTGAATGTTTTTTTTCGTCCAAAACTTACTGTTTATCATCACTCGGTCAGTTTTGCTGGTTTGCATTCAGCTTTAACTGATGTTCGCTGTGCAAATCCATGCAAAACTGACCGGGCCGGTGAACTGTACTCCGCCAAGAGATTTCTTGTCACCATAAATATTTTTGCGGCATGGTGGGTATTTGCACGTACTTGGATGTGTACAGTTTGGATATGTGTAGCTGTCCCTTCCTGTGCAGGTGGGGATTAGTAGCAATGCTGTGTACCTGGAGGTATTGCACTTGTCCCGGCCTGTGTAGGAACGAGGAGATGGAGCTGACCTGAATATTCAGAAACCTGTCATGTCCTGGTGCATGTCAATGTTTTGGCCATTTTGGTCAGTAAAATGTATGTTTTGAATTGGTTGTAATGTTGTTGGTAAAAGATTAAAGTTTTTACATCACATTTCTCTGAATTCTTTATTATGCAGGTCTCACAATTAATGAGGTCAGAGTCACAGCTACACGTGGTGCCTGTTTTAGACTATAGTTTACTTTAGCTTCCCCCCAGAGTTACTATACATCCCAGTCAGATTTTTAAGTCAGAACTTTTTAATAAGTTTTAAATCATGACAATTTTATAATTAAAATTTATTAGAAGCCCGAGGGGGGTCCATAGAAGTAATATTACTGAGTTGTGTCCTTTTGACCACTTGCTGCCAAATGAAAATGGCCCCATTTGCACTACCAGGTTTAAAAGTGGTGTGGTCTGATCTTTAACATTAGGTTTTAAAACACATCAATACTTGATTATCAAACAATGTATTGTTGAAACTCTTGCAGAACATGAAATCTATTTGTGTGAAATCTTGTTTTTATTCAAATAGATGAGCCAAATTTGTTCAATAAATCTAAAATTCATCTTGATTGGAAAAAAGTTTATTCATGAGAACACTAGATAGATGTTCTTTATTGATCCAAATTTGGGAAATTACTGTATTGCAGCAGCAGGTCAAGGGCATTTCACAAAGAGGTAAATACAAGAGACATGGTGCAAAAAATGGAACATGACTATAGTAATAAACATGAAGCTGTGCAGTAAAAATTAATATATGTGCAAAATAAAAAAAATAAATTAACAGTTATTGCAGCAGTAACCCATCTTATTGCTGTGGGCAGGAAAGACTTCCTGTATCTTTCCTTGCAGCAGCAGAGATGAACCAGTCAATATATACAAGAATAATTAAAAAAAGTAACTCCACACCTCACTATATACACTATTGAAACCTTAACAATATTTGAATGTGACTTATTTTATTAGTCAGTGTTTTATGGCTGTTGGGGGGGGGGATAATGAACTTTTCCTATATTATGAGTGTTAGAGGGTTATGGGTTGAATTTCAAGAACATTTTAAAGTTGCTCACACCGTTATTAATCAGCTCTGGAATCAATCCTTTAAAAATACAACACATAAATACATTCCTGACTGTTTTTATTGATGTTTGCAGAATTATACTTTATATACTGAGGAGAAAAAATGGAAGTGAAAATATTTTTAAGTAAAAATAAAAAAAGAAGACAAATTAAAAAAAAAATAGAAAAATACAAATAGGGCAAATCAATTCCTTTCATTTGTGGTTACTGAAAGGGGTTTTGCATCAAGATAATTTTAACTTAATAATCATGACGGTAATTTATTTTACCTACATATAATGCAGCGGTGTTCAAACCAAGAAACCATTCCCTTACAGTAGAGCTTTGGAGCCGTCCACTAGATGTCGCTGTCTGATCGTCGGTCACCTGCAGAGCTCAGGTAACGCCACGGTTCCGCCTCCTCTCTCGGTCCAACCTTGGACAACATGCCGCTTCCAGACGAGTCGCGCCGCAGCAACTTTGTCAGCGTCCGGACCTGAGTCATCCTCCTCAGCCTCTCTTCCCTCCACACTGACACCAGACCACGCAAACTCCCTCCTGAGACCCGAGATGCGGACGTGGCGCACCTGAGACCTGGGGACTACACATGTTGAGAAGAAACCTCAACTTCCAAAAGACATTTTCATTTGGAGTTTTTCTGTTTGGAAGGCGTTCTGTTGAAATGGGTGAAGTGTGGACGAGCTGCTTTGTCCTCCTGGCGGGTCTCTGTGGATTAGGGTTTGGACACAACACCAACACATGCGAAGAAGTGCGCAAAGTTTTCCAACTCAGGCAAATTGGACCCAATCAATTATTGCCTCTGAGTCCCAGAGCAGGTATGTTGGAGCTGAGGCTGGGTTTCTGAAGGCCTTCAACTTTCACAACACAAACTGTCACACAGTTTAGAATATTTTCTAGTGTTTCCATCTGAAAAAAGATGTTGTTATTTGACTCACCTTGCTGAGGAGCTCATTAACTGCACTGGAGCTTTAACCTGTTATTTTCTTTCTACTTAAATCCTCTCTGCAGTCCCACAAACTCCTTTTTAAACACTTTTCAGAGGCGTGTGTGCTCTTGTGATAATGATACAGACAATATAACAGCACCGCTTTGAGCTATTTATGTGGCATCTCTCAGAGAGACTTTTAAATAAAAGGAGATAAGAATAAAATGTACAATAGTCCATTATTCTCTTTAGAGTAAAATCTTTATGGATCCATCTCAATCTGCTCAACCTACTGTTTGTTCACATGTAGAAATAATGCTGGTAAATTTGATTGGATACAGATGTTCCAAGAGTTTGCACAACTCTAAAGTCAATATAAGTTTTTTTTTGTTGATTTCAGTGTTTTATCAGCAGTGCATGGGGAATAAAAAAAATGCTGCTTTAATCCTGTAACACCAGGAAATAAATCCACTGAGATTACTCGCTGGTCTTGACGAATAAGAAACCAAACTCTACTCCTTTGGCCGACTAAAGCAGATAAGTGGCTTGCTGGGATAAACAGGAATTATTTAGTGTAAAGTTAGGTAAACTGGGCTTCGCTGAACTGTCTGATCACCACCCATAAAGTAGCACCACATGATGGTTCTCTCAAAGACATGGGGGAGGAATTAAGGTGGATATTTCATGTGTGCTGTAATTGAGTGGACAGCTTGCTGCTGCTGCTCTGTGTGTTCTTCTTGGAAAAGTAAATCTTAATGGTGTTGATTACCATCCTGCCACAAACTGCTCCCTGTAAACTCCATCACTCTTCTCCAAGGAAACCGATTTAATTGTCAGAAAACCCTCAAATGCCTCCTAAACCTCTAAATAACCCTTATAACGCCATCATGGCTCCTATCCCTTTAATGAGCCTGTGCGGATTTAAACCTCTGTGTTTTTTTAAACCTTTCCAGAATTGCAGAATGAACAGGACTTTCTCTTTCTCTGCCCCCTGCAGTATAAGTGTAGATAAGCCCCTGATTCAGGAGCCACTGACCCTGTAAAAACACTTGCTTCTATTTAAAGCTGCACCTCTTGCGACCTTTCTGGCAGCAGCTATAAGGTCCTCCCAAGTCCTAATTCATCTGGACGCTGCAGAGATAAAAACTGTTGCCCATGGATGCAGATGAACGTGCTGAAATACAGCAGATAACGCATGGGAGATGGCAAGAGTTGATCCTTGATTTCAGAAGTTGTCTGTGAGTGCGGGCCTGCGAAAAATAACGTCCAGAAATTCCAGGAACCTGAGAGAGATGTTTGGCACTGCCTGCCCGGTGAGCAGTCCAAAGCAACTTTCAGTTAAGGTCAGAACACAACAAGTCGGAGAAGTCGGCCATCCCGGCCAAAGAAAAGCTGTTGTCTGTGTTGTTGGAAGTGGAAATGGTTGTGGGAAGTGTTAAGGTTAGAAAACGGAGGCCTGGAGTGCTTTCATGTTGTCTTATCTGGAAGAGTTTGAATTCCTCCACGTGTGCCATCGCCTTGCTCCCCCCCCCCTCTTGAAACCTGTAAGGAGCTGATAGCGTCTCTGGCAACAGCCATGCACACTCTGCCTAGGCATGTCAGACAGGCTTTTGTAGAGTTTTAGGCTTTTTCAGATGTTTTGATTTCCCTGCACGTGCGCAGATTGCTTACATTTGTTTGGAGTGGAAAAACCGCTTTGGTGAAGTGATAACGATTTGACTGATCTTCCCTTAGGATCTTGATGTTTTGGTTTCCTCGCTCCATCTAAGCATTTTTTACTGCAAGAAAAACACGAGTGTTGTATAACTTCTTACCTGATGTTTTCGGTTTGTCTACCACCTCAATGGCTTTTCATGGGTCCACCATTTTTGTCCAGGCTCTAACATTTCAACATGGTTTGTCATTAAATTATGTACAGACATTCATGGTCCCCAGAGGATGAAGCCAATATGACCTTAGTGATCTTTGACTTTTCTTGTAATGTCACCAGCCGAATGACATTTACTGAAATTTCTAAACAATTGTGCCACAGACTTCAGGATGACTTGCAGTAAATATAGACGGTATATAAAGATGGACAACATGTCTCCACATCCTCCCCCTATCCAGAAATGAGGCCAAAATATCCTGGACACGAATGCTGCCATCTTGCACTGATGACTGATAATTTGGAGCCAGAGTCTGCAGTGTAGAAATCGCTGGAGGAAGCCAATTCATGCATTGACCATCAGTCTTAGCTGTTAATCATGGCATTTCAACCTATTTTAATAGTAATAAATAACTGATTAAAACCAAACTTACCAGAAAATGAATCCTTGAGACAACTGTTTTCTTTAAAGTGTTCATTGACCTATTAGTTTGGTCCATATCCCATCCACTAACAGGGAGGAGGCATGATTTATGACCTATACTGGAGCCAGTCACCAGGGGGCGATCAAGACAATTTAGCTTTGCTTTTGGGGAGCATACACCTTACTTCATCGACTTGTTTTACAGTTGATATTAAGCCAATAAATACTAATACCTCAGTGCTGCTAACACGTCTGTAGACTCTAAATGAATGCTGCTAAAAGAAGGAAAGCTTATTTCTCCCTTTAGGCAGTTTAGGGTGTTAAATTCCATTGAATTACTTCTCTGTGACATGTGTAAAGTGAGCTGGAGAACTCCAAAGACAGCATACCCTAGTTATGTAATGTATTAGCATTAGCCTATATTCGATTAACAGATGTAAGCATAAGTTTGAAAATAAAAGCCGTTCTGAAAATATTTCCAAAACCCAACTATTTCATTTTATAAAAAATGTTTGCTGCACTGTAACAAGATGTTTCATCTGATTCCAAATTTTCCTTTTTAAGTTCATTTAGAACATCAATAGTTAATCAATTAGTCATTTAGTCAATTTGTCGTGTAAAAACAGCAAATATTTGGTTTGTGCTTCAGGGGATTGTGATGGATTCTGATGTTTCACTGACCAAATAATTGTCAGAGACGGATGGATGATAATTAAATGGTTTTATTGTATTTGACAAAAAGAGCAAATACACGTTACTTCCCACCAACTGGATTAGGAAGAAACAGCAGTTGCAGTTTGAGAAACAGCTTGGAGCAGACGCAATATTTTTTCATGCACGTATTCGGAAGAGTCTTTGATGATTGAGTAAATTCAGAGCAGAGGAAAATTTCATTTTTAGGGAATCGTTGTCTGGATGTTCTTCATGGGTTATCTCTCTGAATGGAATGTCACAGTAATACACGAGAGGCACAAAGTGGGGCTGTTAAATCAAATCCCATGGAGAAATGACCCCGCCTCATACTTTAGTCTAATTTTAACCCTAAACTTCATCACCAATATTCTGAGATCATAACACTTATTCCGAATCACTCTTAGGTTCAGACCTTCAGGTGTGCTCGTCCAAGAACCTGACCTGCTGCACCAAAAAGATGGAGGAGAAGTACCAGGTGGCGGCTCGGAGAGACATCCAGAACCTTCTCCAGATGTCCAGCACCAGCCTGAAGTTTCTAATCTCACGCAACGTGGCCGCTTTTCAAGGTAGGTAGTTTACTGGTTTTGCTTTTGTAAGGGTTAAACTTCATAAACTCTGCCGAGATGAGAGCACTAATGTTTATGTGGATAATTGTATGCGTGTAGATGTTTGTTTGTACTTCTGAGTATACGCTGAGGAGTTAGGGTTTGTGTGGGTGCTATAAAAACAGTGTGAGTCAGTGTGTGTGTGTCAGTGTGTGTGTGTGTGTGTGTGTGCGCCTGCAGTGAGACAGAGCGAACACAGTCAGCTCTGTCCTCCGTGCAGATCTAACACCACAGTCTGATCATGAGACAGGTTGGCTGTTCCTGTTGGAGACTCAGGAGGCCGTCTGTTGGGGTAAACGTCTATCGGGATACGCACTGGAAGTTTAGCCTCCCTTCCTTTGCAAGGTGCCCTACTTCACTGTTCAACCTCATTCTTCCTCAGTGACTTCCATTCCTCACCATTATTTCACTCAGCGGTGACTGACAGCTGAGTGGCAGGCTGCAACTTGCCTCTGTCTATTTGCCGTCCCTGCCCAGAGTGGGATGTTTCTCCCACTTGAGCTGTAAGCTGTCATGTGATGGCTGAAATGGGTGGGCAACAAACACAGAGCTTATGACTTGAATGTACAGACATGTCATTAAGCCAATTCCCTTTAACGACGTCTCTCAGTTTAAAGACGTGCTCTTATCCTCCTCCTCAACTCAAATGATTTATAGGAGAGTCTCACGTAATCACGGTGTTTTAGTGGCGGTTTGCAGGGGCCATGCCCTCTTTTGTCATCAGACGTTTCATGTGTGTGTGTACTCAGGTTTTGACATTGAATTAAAACACTTTGCATCTGTGCTGATGTTTATGAAGATAGTCGCTACCTTTTCTAAATACTTCAACCAAAGTCTCAAACATTGCTAGCCTGATGAAACATCTTGGGATGTTGGGTTTTAAAGTATAAGGTTTGTGTTATTATATTTTTTTTCTTGTGAAATACTGTGGTGAAAAGCAAAATCAGCTAAACACAGCTCAATACTTTCTAACTTTTTAACCTATCCCATCCATGACCCATCGCCAGGCACATTTGTTGTTACTAAGGATGTTCATTTATAATAATCAGTGACTAATATAAAACAGCAGAACAAATTCTGTGATTTCTTGTGGTCTATATCGCTGTGGATGAGCACACATTTGGTATTCAAGTTTTTAGTTGGGGGTTGACTCAAAACAAACTACATTCATTGGAATGAAAGGAAATTTAACCCAGTGTTGCGCACTGATGTGTTTTTAGAACACCACCTCCTAATGACATCATTGCAGCAAGATAGCAGTGTTTTTTATCATGGATCTTTTGGCTTCATTTCTGGATAGTGGAAGGAGGTGGAGACCTGTCGTCCATCTTTATATATGGGACCTTAAGTGTTAGGCACTTCTTGTGAGAGATCATATCTGCTCAGCCAAGTTACATTGAGCAACATCAGGCGTTCAGGATGCGGAGCCTTTTTTAAATTTCTAAAGGTGGATTTTTCTTTCTGACTTTTAAAGTTCTCTTGATAGTCCAGGCACTATGAATTTTTTGTTTACAAAGGGCAGCAGCAGTCAATTTAGACTGCAGGAGCTGGTAGCTGTTTGAAAAACACTCACAAAATGAGCAGCGCTCACATGGTTTCATCCGTGGAATGGCAGCCAGTGAACGCTCCTGCCAAACCAAACAGAGTTCCCTGTCAACATCGGCTCTCATCAGTCAGCAAACACTGGCAGCTGCCTCCAACATCCAGGCTGCACAATGCAAGTGGCAACAGAAGTTCAGCAATTAAAGTCACATATTGAAGTCACAGTGGCAACATAACTGCTCCCAATATTACATCAGGTTATCATGCATTGGCTGCAATTATTTCCATAGTCTATTAATTGGCCTCATTGTATAATCGATATATATATATATATATATATATATATATATATATATATATATATATATATATATATATATATTCCTTTCATATTTCTTATTTATTGATTATTGTAGGAAAATACACAAAGGAGAACATCAGAAAAATGTTTTTATAGTCTTAACTATTCTTTTCCACCTGCTTAGTATTTGTTTGTCTTTCTTTTCAAGTAAATCTTTGCTGATGAAACGTCCCAACACACAAACGTGTGTGTTTACACACACCCACACGCGTACACATTGTGGCATTGTTCGTTTTGGCCATAGAGGATTCAGACTTTGTCTCCATATGTATGGGAAGCAAGGAGGGACAGAAATGTCTGTTCACAGTTTCACTGTTCATGTGCAGATCTAAAAGAAACAGAAGTCAAGCATTTAATGCGTCTTTTCTGCCAAGGGACTGTTCAATTATGTTGAATTAATTCAAGTGAATTGTTTGATATTCATCTTGTGTGACTGTTAGTTTGTTTCAGATGTTTTCAGATTATTCTCTTAGGTGGAGAAGAGCCAATAACTATATTGATCACCCTGTAACTGAAAAGACTCTTATTTTACTTCTACTTATTATTATTATTATTATTATTAATACAGTGACAAGCTCTTCTGCTTCATCATAAACACTTTTGGGGGGAATTGGCAGGAAAGATGGGTGTTTTTGAAAGAGGGTGGGTTGTGAGTGAGCAGGAAAACAAGATCAAGTCTCCAAATGATTGGCAGCCTGTGCTGTAATTTGAGAGACAACACAGAACAGGCAGAGTGTATAATGCATTTCGACCTCAGACAGGAAGAGGGACGAGTGATGTGGTCATTTGTTTTGTGCAAGGCCTTCAATTAGGGAATCTTTATATGATGCAGCTGAAGGGAGAGGGGGATGAAGGGATTAGAAGAATGTAGATGGATAATAGTGTAAAACTCTAAGGAGACACTAAGAAATAAAACGAACCCGTAAAATGCTATTTAAATGTTTTCCTGCGGGACTTGATGCTTATGTTATTGTGCTTGTAATGGGCCCAAAAAGACTTCAAGGGCATCCTTTATTTAAAAAAGCGGGGGGGGACCCAGTATTTTCAGCATAATGTGTATCTCAAATAAATGAAAACAAGCGCTCGAGCTGTTAATTACGAGGAGAGCTTCAAAGCACAGCTCATCCCGCAGTAATGGTTCATTTCTTTTTTCTCTTTTTCTTCAGAGAATTGTGCGGCAATGTTTCAATACGTCGTCCTCAAATGAACCTGACCCCCTGCTCTCAAGTCATTTCACATCCAAAAGATAGTTGGGCAACTAGGGTGTTAAAAAAACAAAAAACAAAGAAAATAGACTATGTTGATGGCATCCTGTCAGGCAGACGGCCTTTGAGCTTTCCAGAACATCACTTTCACCCCTCCCTCCTGCTCCTGGCCTGTCAGTGAGTCTCTCAGGACGGCATGTTTTCATTCACCGCTTGTGAGGTTCCTGCACATTGTCCACACAATGCACAAATATGCAAGCCTGCTGAGCGGGGCTTTAGGGGGAGATCTTTCTTCATCCTGCGGAGGTTTGTCCTACATCCATGGCAACCAACCTGTGCAATCCCAGCGTCCCGTAGGGCAGGAGTCAAATAAAACTCAAACAGAGCCCACGATGAATCAGCTGTTGAAATGCCAGAGAGAGGGTGTGAGGAGGGGCCGCTCGAATCACAGAGAAACGGTCTGAGATCAGCAGATCAGAGGAGCGGCTTCCTCTGGGACGAGCTTTCATCTGAGGGACTATTTGAAAAGCCATGTACTGCCTTATGCCGACTGCAAGTGAATGTTACTCTTGCGTCTGAATAAAATAATCAGAGCTGCTCCTGTGTGATTTAAGGAGGGAAGGATTTTGTTATAACTGCTGCAGCAGTGAGTCATAGTGAGTCAACTGAACCTGAATTAACTCACAACTAAGAAACTCTGAGAAGTAGTAAAGCATTCATTATTTGTCATGAGTATAGATCACATGTAATTGATCCTAAACAATATGATCTCTAAACCAGCAGATTTGAACATTGCGGCTTGTGACCCCTCAAAAGAAAAAGTATTATATTGAGAAAACACATTTGTCTTGGGATATGAGGCTACAGCCGCAGCTGTCATTTCAACATTTCTGTTCGTCCATGCATAAAACACTTTAATTTCCAAACTTTGGACAGACCCACTCAACCCGTTTCCACATTTCTTTGTCTTCATGCTAAATCAAAAATAATTGTCGTCTTATTCCAGCTCGTTACATACAATTCAAATACATCATCTTTTATGACTCAAAATAACCAAAGCTTCATACAGTGTTTTTGCCTATTTTGAGTGTTTCACAAGAAAGCAGCAACCAGCGATACCACAGGCCAAGCAAAGGGCCCACTCCAAACAGGCGTGTTTACAACGGGCACTACACTACAGTAAGCACAAAGGCAGAAATGTGAAAAACATGAAAACACAACAAATGGGCAATATTGAAAATCTGTTTTCTTCCAATTCATCTCAAAGCCACCTCCAACCACAGGATGAGCGAGTTGAGACCAGCTGCTATACATGTAATGCTACTGTTTCTTAAACGTGCATGGCATGAAGCTGTTGTGACCATTAACACTCTGTGGCTTGTGGGCTTCCTTCCAATCATTTTGGTTTCCAGCCTGGGAAGAAAAAAGAAAAGCTCTTGTCAACATGAGGCTCATGAATCCAGCAGAAGCAGGCTTTGCTTTAAAAAAAAAATTTGCATCGCTTCTAATTGTGAGCGTCTGCTTTTGTCAGGAGCACAAGTGGTGCAGATGAATGTGAGATCAAACGGTCACAGGACTGAGAGCTGGTATGGCTGAAGAGCAAAGCGACTTGTTGTGCTCCGGATTAGCCGTTTGCACCCATACATGCTAATTGTGTTTCTGTTTACCAGCTTTTAAAGGATCCACCGCACATCTTTTACTCTCTGAATTGAAAAAAAGGAGCCGAGTTGAATGGCAGCGGCCCCCACAGCTCGACTGAGAGCAGGCCGCAATCAGCCGTCAAATTAGTACAACACGCTCTGTGCCAGGGAGGTCCAAGTTAGGGGAGGAGTGGGGGTTGTTTTGATCGCTGC